ACTAACAGAGCGACGACGAAGAGGAGCCAATTGATAGATCAAACTCTTGGTGAAACCAGTGGGGAGAAGAGCAAAAACATCTTTTCCTCCGAGAAAAGCCTCCAGAGCAGTGTTTTGCTCTTCTTTCAGTGAAGAAATACTCTGTAATTCCCATAAAACTTGCTCGATAGCCACGCTAACGCTAGTTTCATCGGCTGAAGCCGCCATGTTCTTTAGACTGAACTGTCTATGTTTTATGGGATGTTTTTGCTCTTCTCCCGACTGGTTTCGGCAAGAGTAGCCTGGCTTGTGGTTGTGTTTTCGTCGTCGCTCTGTTAGTACGTCATATGCTTCGTTGATCTGATTGGTTTATTTGACCCGTCTATCACCAACATAGGCCAATCAGCTAACCAGTATTTTCGCCCCTTCCCAAAATTACTTCAACTGAAGGTTTGCGGAGCAAATCCATCTGGCGGAGTCAGGTTAACTAAAGGCAGGTTTATGCTCAGAAACCAGGTCGTCTGTGTCTGCATCGCAGTTAATGCAGATATTCCCGCCAACGCTTCCGCAGAAACTCTGCTGCACCTCTCCAAAATTGTAGGTGATTGCAGACAGTGCTGCAGACAGGAGGCCTCTGATTGGTCAAATCTACATCCGCTCTACACTATGTGTATTTCCTGTTTGGTTCCTTACCGGCTTGTTCTGTTTGTCTGACCGCCATTGTGGCAAAGAGCGAGGTGCGTGAGAACTCTGGGACCCTTTTTCCACCTGGATCCCCGCTCTTTTTCGCCCCCTCTTTCTCACCGCCTCGGCCGTATCTAGACCCAAAGCTAGTTCCTGATTAGCCCTCTTGCGTTGTCGCGTGGAATAACATGGCGCAGACCACGCTTCAATATCGGGCATAAATCAAACAACTCACTGCAATAAACTGCTGATGGATGATAACCCGGCCTTTAGCCAGGCGGCTGATCCATCGGTGGCCATGTTGGCCCTCTTGCTACTGTAAGGTAGCGCTGGTTTAAGTTGAAAGCTCAGTGGACGCTATAAAAAACTCTTTAGATCGTCTCTGACTGGCAGAATGAATGCGAATCTAAAGGCTGGGTCATTTCTTGCTCCTGGACATCCAGACTCTACTTTCTTCGTCTGTGGTTCACTTTTAATGTATTTCTTACTTAAAACCATTTATTTTATTTGGGTAAAAATAGTGAATTATTCTCCTGCAGCTTTAAATGTGAACTGATTGGGGCTAAGATGAATAGAAATAACATTTGAGGGCAGCTTTGTCTCATTTGAAGCTCTTGATCGTACGATTTGGTCGTCACCGAGTTGAAATGACAGATGAGAGATTTGCTGCCTTCCTTCTTTGAAACGCTGCTGTTTAAATCGAGACATAACCCACAACATGTCTGATTTTTATCCCAGCGTTCACCAGCATTATCTGTAGCCATGACCCGTCACTCAGCTGCAATGCAACCAGATGAACCAGAGCAGTAAAACAAACACCAGATTAAACTGGTTTGTTTATTGGGTTTTCTGAATGGTCCTGCTGGTTATAGTGGCGCCGACGTTTCCCACAATCTTTCACATTCCTAAACTCCAGCTTTCCTTCTGAGGGTCGGACTCGAACTTGTTTGATGAATTTAGCGCCTTTCTCTTGTCGACTACATGTCAAAACGAAACCTACCTGTTTAAACACGGGTTTTCTCTAATCCCTCAATTTACAGTTGCTAAACTTGTTTTTTCCACTTGTGTGGTGAAGGAAGGCACATTCAAAAGGACAAAATTGATCATTAAGAGTATTTGTCACAAAGATCCAAAGTAATCCCGAGTTAAACGGCATGTTTGGAGGCTTTGAAGATGACGGAGTGCTTTACCGTTAAGTCTGTGATGCCATAATGTCGGGCTGACAGATTTTTGGGAGTGGTACTGTGTAATTTTCCTATGAGCAAATCTGTTGGGCAACACAGACATTCTGCTTATTAGTTCTCATGGAGTCTATCAAACACTCATCATGCATCATAGTGTTCATCATGTCTGTGTTTTTTTCCCTGTTGACCATATTTGAGCTGCGCTGTAAAAGATGAGATTTTAAGCATGTTTCTGGTTAACCTAGAGGTTAGTGGGAATTTATAATAGATTAATCTAAACAAACATAAAACACAGCATCATTTAAGATACATTGCAAGAAAAAAGCATCAAAGATAAAGTTACTTAGCTAAATATCCCCAAGATGGTTAAAATACAAAAGTTTGAAAACAAACTAACATCATCTTTAAGCAGCCCTCTATTACATCAAGATTGCTTATTCTGTCATTTTAATATGTTTGAGTATAAATTTCAACAAGATATACGATGTAATCTTGTTGAAATGTAATTTCCCTCTGGGATTATTAAAGTATGCCTGATTCTGATTGTCTGATGTCTGAATAGATCTTTAGTCTAGCTAACATGAGGCTAACCAGTGTTAAAATGCGATACAAATTTCTTATGTTTTCAAGTATGCATCATAAAAAATCCAAAAGAAGAAAGATAAAAACAATCCACTGGACGTTGTTTCCAAGTTTAAAGAAGTTTCTCTTCCCATCCAGGAAGTTTTTCAATTCAAAATGTCAGGAACAGCGTTGAGTTTGAGTTTTTTTTTACAGCAGCCCAACAAAGCCTTGTGTTTGTTGAGAAAACATGCAAATAGAAACGGATGAACGGGTCCACCCCTTTAGAATGGGGGTCATTTAGCTTCTTTTATTAGCCTGCAATGCCCCATACCCGTCCAAGTGTCTGAAAGGTCGGTTTCAGCTTTCAAAAACCTACAATGCAGCAATTGAGTTAATCCCTTCCCGCTATCATCCCAGCCACAGCAGAGTAGAGGACCTCCCCTATTCAGTCAGGCCAATAATTCCCTCTAACGACCCCCCTTTCAGAGACATAGACAGGTATGGGGCATTGCAGGCTAACAAAGAAGCCAAACGACCCCCATTCCAAAGGGGGGGACCCGTTCATCCCTTTCTATTTGCATGTTTTCTAAACTAAAACCAGGCTTTGTTGGGCTGCAGGATAAAACCTGGAACTAAACGCTATTTCTGACATTTGGGATTGAAAAATCTTCCTGGATGGAAGAGAAACGTCTTCAAACTTGGAAACAAAGTCCAGGGGATTGTTTTTAACTTTCTTTTTAGGAATTACTGTGACCTGGAGGACTGAGAATCTTCACCAGCGCTGCATAAAAATGTTAAAACTTATTAGTTAAGTCGTGTTAAACAAGTTAATTGTAATGTATGGAGTGGACTAATATTAATTTAGCTATGTTATCAACAGTGGGCAGTGGCGGCCTAGTGGTTGAGACCTTATGCTTGGCTCCCAGAGGTTCTGAGTTCAAGACTGCCACTCTGTCCCTGAGCAAGACCCTTAACCCCAAACTGCTCCCCGGGTGCCGAACAATGGCAGCCCACTGCTCTCCAAGGAGATGGGGTTAAATGCAGAGAGTGAAATTCGATGTTCTGTACTTGTGACATAGGAATAATAAAGTTGGACAATAAAGTTGAATTCTATTCTAACAGTGTTAGCTGGTTAGCTTCAGTTGGTTAGCTACGTTTGCCTTTTGTAAATCTGCCAGATTTTTAACATAACCCATGTTTTCTAAATTTGGACAAAGCCATACTGAAGTGTTTAATATTTTAAAATAACCACATATATGCTAAATTGGATGTTTGTTTAAAAAAAAAGCACTTAGTTGCAACATTAATGTAAAAATAGCCAATTTAGCATCATCCTCCTGCGTTAAAACAGATTTTTATTTAATTCAGACATGAGTCTGATATGAATGTTAGAAAAGCCATTGCTGATTTTAAAATACCAATTAGCATTTGAAGCAATGAGTCACAGAAGCTGAACAAAAATGTAAGTTTTTTTATGTAAAAAGGTTCTTGGTTTACTACAATTAGAACATGACTTTATTTCATCTAAGTGAGACAGAAAATGTTAGAAATGTAAGGGGTTTCTGAATTTCCACCTGCTGAATGCAGGCATCCTGGAGGGAACTGATAAAAACAGGAGTTATTCAACTTGATCAAATAAAAGATAATGACCATCATTTTGTACTTTCACTCTCCCTCCTCATTAATCTGTAAATCAGCTGCACGATTCCTCAGGTCAGGCCGACCTGCTTTGCTTAATGTCAGACACGCTTTGGGATGTTGCAGAGGCTGTTTGGGGAGGCAACGAAGATGATGTAAACTGTGTTGCGGTTGCTAAGGAGATCGTGACTCATTTGGTTTGTTTGTGTGGAAGAAAGAAAGATGTTTGTTTGTGTGTCTAACGGAGGCTGACAAAGGGCTTGTTACTGGAAAGACGCATCAATGAAAAGCGACTGGGAGAAATACTCCTCTGGAAAAAAAAAAAAACTAATTTAAGTAAATATTTTCAAACTTGATTTTATTTATTCAATCGTTTGCAAATCACCATGGAGACAACTCACTGAATGTAGGTAACGGCAGCCGGGAATCTTAATTCCTGTTTCGTATGTTTTTTTTTTTGTTTGTTCTAGAATGTTAAAAGCAAAAACATGTTGGTAGTTGATTCCTGATTTTCCTTTTGCCTTGTTCTTTACCCACCATGAGCATAAAGACCTAGAATTGGACTTTTAACTCACTTAAGGTTTAATTGCTTAAATGCTGTTTTGTTTTTCCTCTTTAAGCAGTTTTTTTGGTTTTTGTTCTGATCTTCACATCCATGCAGTGTTAATTCCTCGCCTTCATGCCTTCCAGGCTTCCATGTTTTTTTTAAAACCGGTTTTTAAGCCCGTTATCCTGTGATCAGATAATCTGAGGTATGCACAGAGTTCCTCTCTCCAGGTTAAAACTTTTACTTTGGCAACGATGCATTTCCTAATCTTCTGGCCTGATCAGCTCTAGTTCAGGCTCTGCATCATGAGCTGGAGATCAGCTAATTTCTACAATCCTTCTAAACATGGCCATGTGAGGTACTGTAAGTTGCTGTGATGCTAACCGTATCTTATCCCCTTGTAGCTTGCAGGTACCGGAGTGCTGGCTATGGGACTATGGCTGCGGTTTGACCCCAGGACTAGAGACCTGTTTGAAAAAGAAGAAGCATTCACAGTCTTCCTCACTGGTATGTTCAAGAGAAGCCTCCCCTAAGCCCCTGTAACACCTTGCAGATTTACCCTGACGTCCTAGAATCTCCTATAACATAGGCATATGCTGAACTTTCTATGTATTTTTTTAGTTTTGGGCGTATACATAGATCAGAGGTCACGGATTAGTGGATTGCGGTCCAGAGCCGGACCCAACCTGGTTTAAAGCATTTATAAATTACCGCATGTTGTCTGATGACAGTGTCTAACTTCACTTGCTCCTCTTCTCCTGTTAATACGGTAAAGCCCTGGGGAGCGTCCGGCTCCAGGCTGCACGTGATCCAAATGAGCCAATGAGCTGTCAGTCTGGGTTGCTGCTGCTGCTACTTTTAGACACAGCAGGCAAACCTGTGGCAAGCCGGGCGATGGGAAAGAAGGAGAAGACCATGAGAAAAAGAGAGCAGAGAAAGTGTGGACTGCTGGAAGAACTGCGGGGAAAACCTCATTTTATTTCAGTGTTAAATTCTGTTTAAAGTAACGGATTACGATAAAAAAAAAAATGTCTCTGGACCTTTACTGGTTGTTGATTTTCTTTTTTGGACCCTGCTGATTTTTAATTGGTTAACCCTGACATAGAAAATTAATTATGAATCCAGAACTTCTGTCCAACGACAGCCTAACTTCTACATAAGGCACGGCAGCGTAATGCCCATGAAAAGATGCACAACAGAGTGTCCTGAGGGAGGCAGCGATGCACCCGGTCTGCAGAAAAAGATTTATTAACCTAGCTGCTGTTTACCATCCGCCAAGAAAAAGAATAAAAAATAAAGATTTTAATTATCAAGGTGTGAAAGGAGCTTCATAGAGCAAAAAAACTGAGCAAATAAAAAAATAAATACACTAATATATGATTCTCGGTCAGTTAGGATATTAATTAAAGATTTGTTTTAAACTTAAACACTTGACTGTAAAAAATCAAAATCTAAATAAGTAATTTTTTCTTAAAATAAGTGCATTTCTTCTTAAATTGAGGAGATTAAAGAGACATTTTACCAATGGAACAAGACAATTTAGATTTAAAATAAGAAAACACAATTGCTGCATCTTATTTCAAGTGCATTTCATCTAATTATTTTATTTTAAGGGTAAAAATACTCATTCCATTGGCATATTATCAAATGTACCTATTTAAATCAAGGGTAAATACACTTAATTTAAGAAATGTTTAATTATTTCTAGATCATTTTTGCAGTGTTTTCTTCATGATTTTTACCTTTCTATAAATCATTAACAAAAAGCATGAATATTAGGGTTAAACTAACAATTTCTAATCGCTTTATAATCGGATAGCAATAGGTTACTGAAAGAAGATTTCTTTTACAAAATTAAACCAGGTAAAAATAAAACTTTTCCACCATTCTTAATTATTTTTTCCCCAGCTTTTATTGTCATTACACTGTCAGAATTACAGAGCAACAAAATTATTGTGTGGCGCCCGGGAGCAGCTTGGGGTTAAGGGTCTTTGCTCAAGGACCCAGAGAATGGATTCCAAGCTCTATGCCCTAACCACTAGACCAGGCATCCCCAACCTCGGTCCTCAAGGCCCGCAGTCCTGCAGGTTTTAGAGGTTACCCTGCTTTAGCACGGCTGATTATAATGATTGCAGTAGAGCAAAAGCCTGTTAATAAGCTTTCAATTAAAATCAGCTTTGCTGGAGCAAGAAAAACTCTAAAACCTGCAGGACAGCGGGCGTTGAGGACCGAGGTTGGGGATGCCTGCACTAGACCACAGCCGCTCTATCCAGGAGTTCTGGATAGAACAGATTGATAGACGAAAACCTTTTTTTTTTGCCCTTTTCAGGCTGATTTTTTTTCCATTCGTGCGAGAATTTTCCAATCGGGCTGACTTTCGGCCTGATGGTGCGTGGTGTACAGGGGGTAACGAGGGGTAATCAGCCTCTAATGACCACCTCGCCATCAAGAATCAAAATCAAACATGTTTGAAATTCAGTCGGCCGTTGTAAGGTGGTCGTGGGCAAATCACTCAGTGGGCAAACAAGGATTCTTCTTCTTCTTCCTCTCAGATGTAAACCCAGCATCATGGCGGGGGGGCAATTAGTGAAATGGAGTTCTTTCTGTCAAACTGACAGACCATAGTAGCCACGTTTGCTCAGCCATGTCTTTGTCCAAATACGTCGTCTCCTTTTCTTTTTAGGGCTTTCAGCACTAAATTGCCCAAATATCCAAGGCAGCGCGTTTCACTCTAGTGAGCTTCATGTTCCTCTGCTACTGGTTTGGCTTCAGGATAGACGAGTCTGAGTAGCGCCATCTCACTGCGGTGTGTGCTGCTGTACAAATTTACCAGACTGTGGCAGTTCTATAGATCTTCAATCTTCTTTTCATATTTTTCTTCATACATGGATGGATGGAAGGATCATTTTCCTATTTGCAATTGCATATATGTAGGGATGCTCAATATATCGTAGTTGAAATCAGTATAAGCTGTTATTGTTTCAATATAGAGCTATTTATTCTTTTATTAAAAATAAATTCCTGATGATTTGGAGCACTTCATAAATGAGACACTAAAAGGTATCTGTCTGTCATTTTAATATTGGGTGTATTTTGCAACAAATGGCATTGCCATTTGTTTGCACTCGTTTCTAGCGAAATATCAAAACGGAAGCCGCTGCAGCACGCAGCCCTGCTTTAATAACAAAGTAACACCCTTGCTCTGAGCTAGAAGTGTTTTTTTCCCCTTGGTAAGAGCTTCCTGCTTACAAAATTAAGACTGAAGATGTTTGTCTTTTTTTTAAAACTGAGAAGCAACTCTGCTGTGACTGACGGAGCTGCAGCAGGGAGGGAGGGGCTGAAACCAGCGCCGGTTCACTGAGGCAGCTCTGAGGTTCAGCCGTCCAAACACAGCCGTCATTATCCACAGCTGGACAGTTGAGTCTTTGTTCCCCAAATTTCTGAGGGGGGGGGCACCCCAGATGCCAGCGGCTCACCCAGACTCTTTGTTTCTCCTCCAGTGGGCAGCAGCGGGACGGAGGATGGGCTCAAAATGACAAACATCTTAATAACTGCTTTGGTGCTGATCGTTATCCCACGCTCATTTTTGCTATCCTTCAGTCATGACTCATCCAATTGTTATATGACATTACGCTGAATCACTGTTATTGGTTCTAATCCCTTCTGCGGTTTGGAAATCCAGCTGTTGACTTGCTGAAACCACACAGAGGTGACAAAGTATACCTTAATCTGGAAACGGCTTAGCGGGGAATTCCTTCTGGTCTTTTCTGTCTTTAATTTTCAGATATGCCACAGAGAGGCAGGAAATAGTTTGCTTTCCAGATGGAGACTAAAGCAACTGAATATCACGCCTCTGCAGAAAGCAGTTGGATAAGTGGCCAGTATGACTGGTGATGACTAGGAAAGAATGAGAAGCAAGACGTGGCTAATTCAGTTTATTTCTATAGCAGCAGTTACCAACACATCATCTCAGGTCACTTTCCAGTTCAACCAGATCATCCAGTCAGATTGATTCAAAGTTTTCTATCTAAGGAAAACCAGCTGATTGCATCGACTCATTGACTCTTCAGCAATCCCTCACACTAAGCATGCTTGTAGCGACAGTGGAGAGGAAAAACTCCCTTTGAACAGGAAGAAACCTCCAGCAGAACCAGGCTCAGTGTGAGCGGCCATCTGCTGAGGCCCACTGGGGTTCAAGGAGACAGAAGCAGACATAGAAAAAGAAGCATAGATACAAAAGGCAACTGTCAACCAGCTCCACAGGCGGCCCCGTCCAGGAAACACACAGCCAGGCAGACGAGCTCCGAGCCAGCTCCCATGTCAGAGGATGAAGAGAGCACATCCAGTTAGTCACAGTCAGAGAAACAGGACTACACTGGAAAACAGGCCAAGCTCCAACATCTAGAAACAAAGGTGTTGATGGCAGCAGCACAGCTGATATTTCTCTCCAGGATGGAGTCACAGCCAAACAGGAACAGACCAGATGAAGCTACTATGAGAAAAAGCAGAGAGAGCAGAACGTTAGAGATTGAACTAACAGATTCTGCAGAGTGGGAGAATAGAGATAGAATGAAGCAGAATGATGAAAAAGGGGTCCCTATGTCCTCCAGCAGTCTAAGCCTATAGCAGCAGAACTATAGAGAAATCTGCCTACATTTTGTTTTCCATTAGTTAAAACTTTTCTTTTCAAGTAAGAAGTTAGAACAGCTTCTCTTAGTTTATTGCTTTTTAATATGTATTTTTCTCTTTAACATTTAAGCAGGGAACTCTAACATGCACCTCATTTAACAAAATATTGTGTAATATTTGAACCATAAACAGCCAGAGGGGGTTATTGGGGTTAGGGGGGTGATTTTCTGTTTGCATACAGGCGATACTTTATCTGCATATAAAACAATTAAATCCTTTCAGTAGACTCAAATTAGAGCTGTGGATTTAAAATCCAATCCGTTAACCGGGTTTAGCTACCGAGTGTTTAGTAGGAGGTCGATTTTTAGATTAGAATAAAAAATTTAAAGATGTTCATTTGAAAAATTAAATACTTCTGTAAACAAGTTTTGCGTAGTTGTTTAATCGGATATTCTCAAAGATGCTGGAGCTTTTCCTTCAAGAATGTGTTTTTATATTAGAAAAATCCAGTGTTTTTGTATTTTTAGAGTTCAATGACTGCAGAAATTTATTTTCTTTAGCTCCGCCCTGAGCGTGATTCTCTATATTGTTTGTTCATAGGGATGTACCTGCTGATAGCTGCAGGAGCTCTGATGATGGTTGTGGGATTCCTGGGATGCTGTGGAGCCATTAAAGAGTCTCCATTCATGCTGGGACTGGTGAGCCAAGGAGGAACCGTCCATATGAGGCACTTTGATCGAACGCAAAATGACTTTTTGTTGTTTCTTGGTTTAGTTCTTCCTCTTCCTGCTCCTCATCTTCGCTGCTGAAGCGGCTGCAGGTATCTGGGCATTCAACAACAGGGAGAAGGTATGACTGGAATCATTCTGTGATTTTATGCAACGTTCAGTCGATCATCATTAACTCAGTAAAATCAATAAAGCAAACTGGTGTAAAAATCAGTTCCGGCTTTTGAACTGAACCAACTTTTGATTACATTCATATAAACTGGAACATTTGTTATTCTGTTAATTTTTCATTTTCTTCCTGTCTCTGCAGCTGACTGCAGATGTTAAGGAGTTTTATAGGGAGACCTATAAGAAATACCAGAACTCCAAACAGGATGCACTGAGGGAGACCCTCCGTCTCGTCCACTATGCGGTGAGAGTCCCACTCCTCCACTCAGCGATTAATCACATAAAGAACTTCCAGCTTAGTCATGACCAAAAGTATTGAGAATGACAGAAATATTCTATTTTCACCTGATCTGCTGCCCTCTGGTGTTCATGTGAGATGTTGTCATCGCATACAGAAATAGAATTGCAATCATATTATGAGTAACAAAAGCTTTTAATGACAGAATGAATTAATAATAAGTCAATATTTGCTGGGTTGACCCCTCTTCTTCAGGACCTCTGCAATTCTCCCTGCCATGCTTTCAACTTCTGGACCAAATCCTGACTGATAGCAGTCCATTCTTGCACAATCAATGCTTGCAATTTGTCAGAATTCTTAGGTTTGTCCGCCCGTCTCTTGATGATTGGCTACAAGTTTTCATAGATTGTTGACTGAGGTGCAATCTTTCTAGCTGCCATTCAATTCAGTTTCTTTATATAGCGCCAAATTCACAACACATGTCATCTCAAGGCACTTTCCAGTTCAACCAGATCATCCAGTCAGATTGATTCAAAGTTTTCTATCTAAGGAAAACCAGCTGATTGCATCGACTCATTGACTCTTCAGCAATCCCTCACATTAAGCATGCTTGTAGCGACAGTGGAGAGGAAAAACTCCCTTTGAACAGGAAGAAACCTCCAGCAGAACCAGGCTCAGTGTGAGCGGCCATCAGCTGAGGCCCACTGGGGTTCAAGGAGACAGAAGCAGACATAGAAAAAGAAGCATAGATACAAAAGGCAACTGTCAACCAGCTCCACAGGCGGCCCCGTCCAGGAAACACACAGCCAGGCAGACGAGCTCCGAGCCAGCTCCCATGTCAGAGAATGAAGAGAGCACATCCAGTTAGTCACAGTCAGAGAAACAGGACTACACTGGAAAACAGGCCAAGCTCCAACATCTTGAAACAAAGGTGTTGATGGCAGCAGCACAGCTGATATTTCTCTCCAGGATGGAGTCACAGCCAAACAGGAACAGACCAGATGAAGCTACTATGAGAAAAAGCAGAGAGAGCAGAACGTTAGAGATTGAACTAACAGATTCTGCAGAGTGGGAGAATAGAGATAGAATGAAGCAGAATGATGAAAAAGGGGTCCCTATGTCCTCCAGCAGTCTAAGCCTATAGCAGCAGAACTATAGAGATAGATCAGGATAACCTGAGCCACTCTAACTAGAAGCTTTATCAAAAAGGAAAGTTTTAAGCCTAGCCTTAAAAGTAGACAGGGTGTCTGCCTCACGGACTAAAACTGGTAGTTGGTTCCACAGGAGAGGAGCCTGAGAACTAAAAGATCTGCCTCCCATTCTACTTTTAGAAAAACTAGGAACCACTAGTAAACCTAGCATTTTGGATCAGCTGAAGGCTTTTAACTACAGTTTGTGGACTTCCTGATAGTAAAGAATTACAATAGTCCAGCCTAGTTTCTCAGCATCACCCCTGGGCAGGAGATTTCTAATTTTTGCAATGTTCCTCAGATGAAAGAAGGATATTCTAGAAACCTCTTTGATATGGGATTTAAATGACAGGTCCTGATCAAAAATAACACCAAGATGTTTTACTTTATTATCTGAAATCAGTTTAATCCCATCCAAATGAAGTGACTGACTAATCAGCTTCTTTTTCAGAGACTCTGGTCCAAAGACTATAACTTCTGTTTTGTCTGCATTCAGAAGGAGAAAGTTAAGAGTCATCCAGGTTTTTATGTCTTCAGACATGCCTGTAATCTATGTAATGGGTTAGCTTCATCTGGATTATAGACAGATACAGCTGGGTATCATCAGCATAACAGTGGAAATTAATCCCATGCTGTCTAATAACTCTACCGATTGGGAGCATGTATAAAGTAAAGAGAATTGGTCCTAGCACTGATCCCTGTGGTACTCCACAGGTAACCTTTGAGCGTGTTGAAGATCTATCATTAACATGAACAAACTGAATTCGATCAGATAGATAAGATTTAAACCAGTCTAGTGCTGTTCCTTTAATTCCAACAAAATATTCAAGTCTTTCTAAAAGAATATTATGATCAACTGTATCAAATGCAGCACTGAGATCCAACAGGACGAGCACAGATACAAGTCCATTATCTGAGGCCATGAGAATATCATTAGTGACTTTCACCAGAGCTGTTTCAGTGCTATGATGAGCTCTAAAGCCAGACTGAAACTCTTCAAAAAGTTCATTATGGTGGAAGTGATCGCACACTTGTTTGGCAACTACTTTCTCAAGAATTTTAGATAAGAAAGGAAGATTGGATATAGGTCTATAATTGACCAAGTCATCTGGGTCAAGAGACGGTTTCTTAAGCAGAGGTTTAATTACAGCAACCTTAAAAGCTTTAGGTACATATCCCTGTAACAGAGATAGATTAATCACATCTAAAATGGAGGAGGAGATCAAAGGGAATACCTCCTTAAATAACCTGGTTGGAACTGGATCTAACATACAAGTTGAAGGCTTAGATGAAGACAATAATTTTGCTAATTCAGAAAGTTCAACTGGATCAAAGCAGTCCAAACCCGGTTCAGATTCCATGACTACCTCAGGTACAATCGTGGATAGAGGAGTGCTTATGATCTTATTTTTAATAAGATCAATCTTATTTATAAAGAATCCCATAAAATCATTGCTGCTAAGAGCAGGTGGAATGGACAGTTCAACAGAGCTATGGCTCTGGGTGAGTTTGGCAACTGTATTAAAAAGAAATCTAGGATTATTCTTATTCTCCTCTATTAATGAGAAGTATGCTGCTCTTGCTTTACAAAGGGTCCTCTTATACAGCAGTAAACCATTTTTCCAGACTAGGAAGGACTCTCGCAGGCCTGTGGAGCGATATTTTCTCTCCAGTTTCCTAGCATTTTGCTTCAAAGTACGCAGCTCTGCATTAAACCAAGGAGCAAGCTTTCTATTTTTAACGGTTTTCATTTTCAAGGGAGCTGCGTTGTCTAAGGCAATACGCAGAGAACTAGCAACCCCATCAACAAAATCATCAACCTGTGAAGGGGAATAAGCTATGCTTTTGCACTCTGCAGCACTGCTCAGTGACACAGAGGAGAGAGAAAGTGAAGCAGATTCTTTAAAATGTATAACTGTCTGCACCCTGTCTGCACCCTCTTTCCTGTTCGGCCATTTTTGTGCTGTGCAACGATGACTGCACATGTTTCTTTAGAGATAACCATGGTTCACAGAAGAGAAACAATGAGCAGCAGCCTCTTTTTAAAGTGTCCAGTGGTGTCATTCTGACTGAATCCTGACAGATTGATCTGCAGCCCTGTCCTCATCACCACCCACACCTGTGTTAACGGAGCAATCACTGAAACCATGGTAGCTGCTCCTTTAAGGCAGGGCTGCAATCACGTTGAAATGTGTTTTGGGAGATAAAGTTCATTTTCTAGGCAAATATTGACTTTGCAATTAATTTCTGTTACGCTGATCACTCTTTATAACATTCTGGAGTTTATGCAAATTGCTGTCATAAAAACTGAAGCAGAAGACTTTGTAAATATTATCATTGGAATCATTCTGAAAACGTTTGGCCCTGACCGTAAACTTTAATGGTTTCTCTTTCACAGCTGGAGTGCTGCGGTCCTACAGGAACAGTGCTTGATTCAGTCAAAGACATCTGTCCTAAGCAGGAAGGACTGGAACTCCTTATTACCAAGGTAACGGTCTGCTGTGGAGGATTTCAGCCTAGCTGTTTTAGTAGGACTTCTAACAGGGTTTGAAAACATTGCTCTACTTTAGATGGTAAATGAAAACAGCCTTTAGCTTTCTACTTTTCTGAATTGTGAAAATATTTAACAAAGGCTTTGTTTTTTTTCTTACAGGGCTGCGTATCGGCAATAGAGGACGTTTTCTCTAACAAGCTGCACATCATCGGGGGAGTTGGCATTGGCATCGGGGTCATTATGGTGAGTTGGAAACCAGAGAGGAGCGAGATCAAATCTACACCGATTCATGGAAACAAATGAATGGGATTCACTAGGAGGGTTTTCATGCATGGACAGTCAGACCGAACGGTTCGGACGGTTTTCATAAACCGTTCCATCCCTAATATATACAGAATTTGATCTCATTTCAGAACTAAATTTTCTGTTATAAGGGGTAAAGAGAAAATGATGTCTCGGCAAGTCATCTAGGAGTCTTCAGTGAAAAAAAAAAAATAGAATAGTAGATAAAAGTACATGTAAATATACATTTTATGCAGAACAATTTTTGATAAAAGTGGGTAAGTGATGACTATGGAAAACATTTTTTTTCCCAGAAATATCGTCCACTATACCTTTAATTTAGAAAGCATGGATGTTTAAATATGAGTCTATTTAACAGAACAGTTTCCTTACAGTTTATTGCTTTTTGATCTATTTTTTTCCTTCTTTAACATTGGTGCAATAAATCAGTGTACATTGGTTATTGCCTGGACACCCCTATTAAAATGTTCTGGCTCTGGGAACAAAGTGCTAATAATTCGTTACCTTAAGTAGAAATGTTTTCTATCTATACTTTATTGGAATAATTAGTCTTTAGACAACTTTTTCCTTCTACTCCTTATATTTTAAAAATAGACTCATTAGTTTCGTTTCATTTCAGCTCATTTTCATTCTGGCCTGTTGGTATTTAAATAACATAAAACCATCAAAATAAACCAGACGATTAATTTCATTGTGGTTGAACTGGGTGCTGCCCCAACCTGTTGCTCACCACATATGAAATAGTTTTTCAAGCTGATGCAAAGTCAAATTTAACACTGTTACCATTAGTTACAAAACTAAGAAAATTAAGTCTAAGGAAGTTTTCATCCAGAATTGTAGAAAAATGTTCCTTTAATAGAGTAGAGCAGTAAAACTTCTGTTCTTAACAGTTTTTCCTGCATTACTTTTTACACTTTACTGGATTAAAAGCTGAAGTTGATCCTCTAACTTCTAAAAAAAGTGTTTTTAAACAGGATTTTTACTTATACTGGAGTAATAAATAGTAATAATTTTGACGCCTCTCTAATGCAGCGCGTTGCCTAAAGGTCTGGTTTGTAACGGCTCTAAATGGAAAATAAGCTTATATTTAGTTCTGCTTTGCTTTTGCCTTTCCGTCCAAATGCTGTGCTAGATTTTACTTTCTATTAGCTGTACGCCTGCTGGGCTTTCACGCCGTCGTTGGTAAGTTATATACTCCCAGTTTGCTGTTTGTTTCTGGAAAAAGACAAAAACTAAAAATAACTTTCAGCTTTTTTACCTTTACATTAGTAAAAAAAAACAGACCTAGCAGTGGAAATACAGATATGTTAAATGTAGCGTACTTAAGCTTAACCTTTCCACCTGCAATAACACATTGGTGTAATTCCCTCGGACAGATTAAAGTGGTTTTATTTTACTGGTTTATTTGAAGTTGCTCTTGATCCTTTTTAATCCACCGTGAAAAATCATTGGCTGAGAAAAAAAAAAGAACTATTAAAGAATCTTTAAGTTTTTTTTTTCATAAATGTCTTTTTGCACTGATCTAGCAAAAATCTTTATCTGCTTAATTGTTTCTGCTGGAAGATCAAACAGACCTTTTTAGATTTCAAAATAAAAGTGCCTTCCCTAAACTTCAAAATAAAAGCTGGATTATTAATATATAAATAATTATGTATGTATAATTAGCATAGATACAAAAATTACAATTAGTGAATAAACTTCTATTATCATGAATTAAAAACCAAAGTAAACATTCCTAATGGAGAATGAAGATTTTGTTTTTAAGGTGCATTTTTTTTTTCATAATCTGCTAAGCTAGGGTTTATCATAGAAGGAAAAACCCAAAAATCTTATGTTCATTTGAGATTATTTCCAATTATTCACTTTAAACACAAACTTGTACTAATTGGAAATAAAAGATCATCATTTGATGATGCTTTTATACATTTAGTCTGGAATGATTCTCACCTTGTTGTCATTTTTCTTCCTGCAGATCTTTGGGATGATCTTCAGCATGATGCTTTGCTGCGCCATCAAGAGGTCCAGGGATTTTGTGTAAACAGAAAAAAAATGTATATTGTTTTATCAGACGACGTCATTTTTTGTAACCTGCTGCTTCAGAGTGTAAACTATTTTAACGCTAGACGTCGGTCATTCTTTGGTTTGCTAGTTTAGGTTCATACAGGATGGTCCCATAGACCTGTGAGAGTATGAAGCTTCTGCACTGATGTCTTTGAATTCCTCTAAGTTTGGTTTGCAGGCAAATTATTTTTGTACACAAAAAGCTAAACTGAACTTTTTTTTTTGTTGTTTACCAAAATCGAATAGAAAATTTTAGTTTTCAAGAAGAATGTAGGGAACCTTTAGAACTTTGCTTCCCTCTAGTGGACATGTCTGCCAATTATTTTTTAAAATGTTAATATTCTGTTTTTGTTACAAAATGCACTAAAAGTAACTGTGCTAAAGCCTGTTTATTATTGGATTACTAAATGCTTTATTAGGACATGGTAAATATTTTTTTTAAAGCAAGAATTGTGGAATTTTATGCAAATATTACGATAAATGAGGTTCACATGTTTAAGATGTAAAGTACCTAATAAACATGGATTTGTGTTACACAAAAGCAAACCTTTAATGTTTATTTTTAGTTTTCTAAAGAGAATTCAAATCTTTGACAGAAGGAATGAAGAAAGTTGAGATTGCAAAGTTTGAATGGGTTTATGGCTGCAACTTATGGAGGACCAATCCTGCCATAATTAAAAATACATACAGAAATATATACAGAACTTAACATAAAATTGCTTGAAAAAGTATCAAATAATTTGTGCCATTAAATGTGACACAATTATAAAAATATTATTTGCTACTTTTTCAAGCAATAAGTCCATTTATTTCTAAATTATTTTTTTTATTATCCTTTTTTTATTAGATATTTATATAAGTATTTTATAATAAATAGCTTACCATTATTTTGCAAATAAATTAATCAGATAGCCAAAAAAGATTTTTTTTTTTTACTTAAACCAGGTGAAACAAAAGCAGATTGACAAAAGTATTTTTTTTATTTTGAATGCAAAATGCTTTTTTTTTTTTTTTTTACAATTTTAGTATAATTACCGCTCTAAGGGCCGGATCTATCAAAGGTTTGCGTGTATAAAAACGTGAGCTATTTCACTGCGCACGCTAAAAAATGTACAAACTGATCTATCAACAGCGTGCTAAAAGGATTTGGTCTTTAAAACGTGCTAAATAGCGCCTCTTATCCATTTAGTACTTTTTCTGCAATGAATATGCAATATGGGGCGTTTACACGCAAAAGTGCGTCTTATGGGAGGAGAACATGTAAATATATTAATTTAGCACTCGCAAAGTGATTTATCAAACCTGAAAGCAATTTTGCTAACGGTATCTGACTCTATATTTAACACGTTTCAAAAGAAGGGGCAAATGGTCTGTATGCGTAATTGCGCACACATGGTAGCGGTTATTGTCGCAAGAAGGAGACATGGAAATGAAGCAAGGAGACGCAGAGAACGCATTTTTTTCACTCCGTGTGAATATTTTTGGAATGAACGAGGAAACGATCATCAAAACATTTCGTTTATCCAGCATTGCCATTTTGGAGCTGTTGGGGGAACTCTGAATGGATTTGGAGCCAGCCACAAGGAGGACCCACGCAATACCAGATATCACTAAACTCCTTGCAACGTTGCACTTTTTTGCATCTGGGTCATTCCAGCGTACGGTTGCAGCGAGAGCTGGGATCTCCCAATCTCGTTTTTCAGAAGTGCTGTCCGACGTTCTAAATGCCATGTCACCCTGACGCCCTACCGGAGAACCCCGACCTCCCCCCTGCGCCTGTGGAGCATCATGCCAATGCTGCGGGGATGCGTACGCGCAGTAATCTCATCCACAGTCACTTCTTGTGAGCCATTTGGTATGTGCATTTTTCTACAGGCCAATACAAAACACCTGTTTTTTTTTACTGCAGTGAAGTAGAAATTCAGCCACATACCACCTTAGGGAATAAAGGTTGCCAACGTTTTTATATATATATATTTTTTTTTTGGAGGGGGTGGGGGTGTCACTGTAAGATTTAAATTTCTTAATGCACTAGTTTGTACAAACTACTTTGCCGCAAACCACAAAAAGGCGCAAAACCATCATTTAAATAGGGCGTCTCCAACAGTTTTGCACCTGCCACCAGTTACGCAATCGCTCTTGTTAAATCACCCGCAAACCATGGTTCAGCCCCTCGCGCAAAATTCCAGTTTGCGAGCGCAAATTACTGCACGCAAAATTGGATCTTGATAAATCCGGCCCATAGTGGGTTGTTCTGTTAGCTGAAGGAATGTTTTAGTCTCTATACTCCAGTTAACGATTTATTACTCAAATAGTTGACTATTTCAATAATAAATCATGGCTGTTTTATCCCTAAATGGGTTTGACAAATTATTTTAAATATATAATATGCTAAAAGCTGCAAGTTTCAGGTTTGAAGTCCCTTGATGGTTACATTAGTATATTAATGAAGCCACAAATACAAAAATTTTTGCACCTGCAAAGTAATTTTGCACCTTGTATGAAGATCACTTTTGCACACGTAAACATTTAAGATTTTTACTTTTCAGCACTTTTTTCCCGTAAAGCAGGCATCCCCAAAGTGGGTCCTTTAGGGCCGCTGTTCTGCAGGTTTTAGAGGTTTCCCTGCTTTAGCACAGCTGATTATGATTGTTGAGAAAAAGCCTTTTAATCAGCTTTCAGTTAAGCTGTGCTGAAGCAAAGAAATCTCTAAAACCTGCAGGACAGCGGCCCTGCAGGACCGACTTTGGGGATGCCTGCCGTAAAATAGGCTAATAGTTTGAAGCCTTCAAATAGAAAGCCAAAAGCAGAAAATGGTGAACAAACTGAAGGTTTTGTGAATTTAAAGCTGATTTAGTCACAAAGGAAAACCTTCGGTACTCATATTATTCAAAAAGTGAAATGTTCCATTGAATATAAGCATTTTGTATCCAGAATCAGCATTTAGATCACAGGAACGGCTCAAGGATTCAAAGTTACTCTTAATACACAAACGTACAAAAGACATTTTTATATTTTTATTACAAATTCCACCTTAAATCTAAAAAAGACGACCCAGCGTTGATCCGACACTGAAGCATCTGCACCGAATGTCCCCACATCTACTGCTAAACAGGCGTGTGTTCCATCAGTCTTCCCAGGCAAAGTCGTACGGCTGGAAATCGTCTCTCAGGCGTTTGCAGCCGTCCTCCTCCTCTTCTCGGCTCTGTTTACACTCCTTCCAGTCGGCTCGAGTTGGGATGTTCAGCAATACCTCGCTGGCCAGAACCTCCCTGTGGACAGACGGACATTTCCATCAGTGGCGTCAAACGGCAAATCCTTTTAGCTCTTTAGTCAACTTCAATCAGCTGTTTAAATTATAATCTGTTGTTTTTCTCGTGTATAAATCAGAATTGGAGGGAATTTTAAATGTGATAACTGATTAGCTCTCTGGCGCCCTCTTTGGCAATGGTTTGAATTAAATTTAGAACGTTTATGCAGTTAGTAGACACTTTTATCCAAAGAGACTTACAAAGTAGAATATATACATATATATCTCCCAGTCTAACAAATCAAATCCAGTCTCCTGTAGTTAAACTACAGAAATTCTTTATAAACAAAGAAAAAAGTTTGGACTTGTTTTGATAAAACTGTTCAGTTCCTTGAAGTTTAACCGTTTTTTCCCACCTTCCAAACTGCAGAGGAAAGTTTTTCTGGATCCGGTAGTAGAGTTTCTCCCCAGAGTCCAGCTCTACGTAGAAGTAAGGAGTTCCTGGAGGAGCAATCTGAACGCAGACAGTAAAAAAAACAGTTTATTATTCAGCTCGTTTGCACTGTTTAATCTGAGTTTAGGTTCTGGTGCCGGAACCTGTTTGAGGTCGGTGTGTTGAGGAATCTCCATCAGCTCCATGTTTTGCTCCTGAGCCTGGACCATAAAGGCCTCCTTGATGTCCTCAGTGGTGCAGCGGTTGAGTGGAACAGGAACCACCTGGAAAAACGGTCAGATTGAAAATATCCAAAGATCTATCAGATATTTCCTGTTCTGTTTTATATATAAAGTGTCGTTCTACCTGCAGCTGCAGATGTTGACTCTTGTAGTTCCTCTCAAACACCACGCAGCGTTCTCCTTTGCTCTTGTAGAAGTTCTTCAGGGCCGTCTTGTACTTCTCCATCTCCTCCACCACCTCGGAGCTCAGCTCCACCACAGACTGGTAATGGCCGATGGGCAGGATGAGCACATGGCGGGGGGTCAGAGGGCCTTTAGCCAGAGCCAGGTAACACTGCACAACAGAGAGACGGCTTTATTTCCCTCCATGCTGCCTTTCTAGAGACGTGACCGACTTTAAAGATGTTATTTTTAACCATTGCTATTGCTGGTTAGAATACAGACAATACATTTTCTTCTTCTTCTCTTTTCAAACAGAACTATCCAGTACTTCCAGCTCCATGGACTTTTTCCACCATATTTAAAGGTTAGTAAAACCTAAAACAAACCTAAAGTTCCCAAACTGGTCCTTTACTAAAACAACGTGCTGTCGATCGCTTTTTAAAGGAAAAATCTGCTCATATTCAGAATTCAAACTTCTGAAAGTTCTTTAAATCTGAAATGATTCCATCCTGTTCAATAAATGATCAGTGTTTTTAATTCAGAGTAATTTTCATGTGAATGTGCTTTACTGGAGGCATCCATGTTTGTCAAAGAACACTACTGCCACCTACTGGTTAGTGACATTGTCACGGTGCGGTATCGGCTGTTGATCAAGTCCCAGTGCTGTATCTGGTGTTTGTCACAACGCGCTATTATCCAAGTCATCTTGAAAACATTCTTCTTCCAAATGTTGGCTACATATTACGGGTTTTTTCTCTGGCCAGAAGTTCGATGGCAAATCCTCCCTCTTCAAGTTGGCGATCCAACGACCAACCCGTCCGTGGAGGATCAGGAATCAGAAAGGTGGAATAACTCTATTTTTTCACTTTTACCCGACGTATTCCAGCATCCAGCTGCCATGCACGTGGGCATTGTCAGTTTCACTATAGCTCTGGTGAATTTCAATGGTGAAGTCCTCTGGAAATCTTCAACAATTGTTGTTGATTGCAGATGTGTCTAGTAGTTCCCATTGATTTAGCTTGGAAAGCGGGGAGAATGGCGCTAGGCTTACCGCACCGTGACGTCACTGCTGGAAGATGGCAGGAGGGAGGGGCTACTATATTTACGCAAAAATGGCCGCTCTCAGACTCAGTGATCATTTACTAATTAATGGTAAATTAATTGAATCACCACAAATGTATTAGTTTTAGGTATAAATAATGATCCATTGATTATTCCTTTCTGACTGGACTTCTCCTTTAAATCCTGATCCCAGTCTACTGACTGGAAACCAGTATCGGATCTTCTGCAGCATCCAGAGGGTTACCCGATTTACTTCTGTTCCAGCTGATTAAAACTATCCCCACAGCATGATGCTGCCACTACCATGCATCGTCGTTGGTGTTGCGTTTAAGGTGACATATAAAAAGATCGTTTGCTGCTTTTATCCAAAGCAACCCAGACCAGCTTTAAATGGAACCAGAACTTCCTCCCTGAGCCGTTTGCTGGGTTCTCTGATGTTCTACAGAAAACCCAGAGGCCTTCACAGATCCGGCGGTGACAAACAACATTTTAATAAGCTGAAGATGGGGAATAGATCAAATGTTTCTGCTCGTTTCTTCCTGGAAATAAAGATGTTAATGTTTCCATGTTCAGATTTCCAGGACGTAAACTTACATGTGTTCCTATACTGACGACCAGATGTTTCTCCACTTGAGGACTGGCCAGACAGAACCAGCAGGGACCAGTGGGCTGCGCTGCACATGGGGAGAAAAAGGTTATGTTCTAAATCCCATTTCTGGGCTTTGATGATTCATGGAGGCCTCATCTGGTGGTGAGGTGGGAGGAGAAGCCAAAAAGTCACAGTAGGCGACGTATACATGTTAGAACAGAGTAAAGTGTCTCCAGAGACGATATTCACTCCTTTTTGGATATTATCTTGACTTGCACACGTCACTGATATCAGGTCAGGAGAAAAAAATAATAATAATTTAACTTTATTGATCTCACATCAGAGAAATTTACATCTGCATTTAAGCTATTGTTTCTGGGAGCAGTGGGCTGCCATTGTGTGGCGCCCAGAGAGCAGTGTGGGATTAAGGGTCTTGCTCAGGGACCCAGAGCGGCAGGCTGAGGGGATCTAACCGGGGACTTGCAACCTTCTCAGAGCAGAAGCGTTCTGCTCCAACCACCAGGCCAACACTCCCTTAAAGTAAGGAGCTACGGAAGAGGATTAGGGCCAATGGAAAAAATTTTATTTTTTAAAGTTAGCTGATTTTACTTTACGAGCTCTAATCCTCTTCCTCATTGTGACATTAATATTAACTTTGTCTGGAGCGCTTGTGTTGAAACCTGTTTGTTAAACAGTCGAGTAACTCGTTGTCGGACATTTTACTAAAGAGCAAATAAATTTTAAAAAGATTACTCAAATAAAAATGACGGTGCAGTAAAACTATTCCTAAAAGTACATTATTGTCAAAAAGTTACTGTAGTAAATGCAACTACCGTATTGTCGGGAATATAAGCCACCTTTAAACCATGCGGCTTATTAAAAGGTGCGGCTTTTCTGTGGATTTTTTCTAAGCGCCAAAGAGGGAAGTCAAAGTTATAAATGAAAGAATAGGGGCTAATTTGTATTTAGCAATAGAACATGCTAGCAGCAGGCATTACGGAGAACAAATGTCCAGAATTCAGACATTTTGACATTTATTTGCTGCATTAAAGCTGCTGAACTGATGAAGAGACAGAGCTCAACTCCTGCAGAGCTGAAATAAAAAGCTGATGTAGCTCCATCTTTCAGTAGAAGCTCTTATTGCTGCGAGCTAACAAGCTAACAGCAGCTAGCATTCTTCTTCCTCTCTACTCCAGGGGCTAAATGTAGAGCGCCCCCTGCAGGTTTGATGGGAGACAGTTCAGTAGATATCAGCGACCTATATAGGTCAATTTTTTTTTTTTTACTTTCTGAGTGCGCTCTATAGTCCGGAAAATACGGTACTTAAATCTACTTGGTTTATAGTCAGGAGTTTTTTTATTTTTCCCTTCCTGTTTGCTACACATTGTTTATGTTTTGTTACAATTTACAAATTTTTTTTGTTTAATTTGGCACTTTAGTCATATTTTTTCATAATTGTGAGATTTTTACCACAAAAAAGGAAAAAGAAAACGCAACGTCGTCTTAAAATACTGGCAGATCAAACTTATAGGGGATCTGGATGTCGGACCTAGAGATCCTTTAGTCTTCAGTTACACATTTTTAAATCTTTAAGATGATTTATTCTGTATTAAACCTCCATTCTATTGGCTGAATGTTTCAGTCTTCATTCCGCTGCTCTTAATAAAAACATGATCATATATTGTGGTTTAGACTCACGGTGCCGGCGCGGTTGGTTGGGCTGGCCGTGGTGACGCCCGTCTCCTCCTCGCCCTCGTCCGTCTCCATCCCAGGGCCTCTTCCTGCCGCGAGAAGCCCCGCCCTCCTTTGAGCTCAGGTCAAAGAAGAACTGACTGGCCGGCTCCTGGACCAAAAACAAAAAAGGTGAAGGAAGCAGCTTAAAGGTATAAAGGACGAGCTTTTATTTCCAGGTGGATCATCTAACCAAGTGGTCCTCCTAGTTGTCAATCATTCAGATGTTTACGTAAGGCCGTCCTACGTGCTCGGCCCGTTAGCTATCTTTCTCTGCGCAATTTCAGGCATAGCTATGTGGTGAGCTACGGTTTCAGTCATTGAAGCTTTGAGCGGAGAGATCTCCTCGGCCCGCTGCCGCTACCTGACAGCTACGACTAATAAAGATGGCGCAGGCACCGAGTGGTGGAGGAGGACTTAACGTGACCAACGGAGCAAAAGGCAGTGATCATCTGTCTGAACGGTCAGTTAACTGAGTTCCCTATATTCCAAAATAAAAAATAAAAAACAATCCTCTGGACTTTGTTTCCAAGTTTGAAGACATTTCTCTTCCATCCAGGAAGATTTTTCAATCCAAAATGTCAGAAATAGCGTTTAGTTCCAGGTTTTATACAGTAGACCTACAAAGCCTTGATTTAGTTTAGAAAACATGCAAATAGAAACGGATGAACGGGTCCACTGCTTTGGAATGGGGGTCGTTTGGCTTCTTTGTTAGCCTGCAATGACTTTAGGGTCCCCTATATAGGTATAAGGGGTGGAACGGTTCACAAAATCCACGGTTCGGTTCGGTTCACGGCTTCGTGGTTTTTGGTTGATTGTTAGGAAAATCTATTATGTCTTGTATAGTATAACACGTGTTGCACAATGCTTTTTTTTTTTTTTATTATGTCAACAAACATTTACATGAAAAAATACACTCAGAGAGGAAAGCAAAGGTGAACATGACCAGATAAAGATTAATTACAATAAAAGAAAAACAAAGAAGTAAAACAAATAACAGGAGATTTATCTCTGCAAACATTTAAAACAAACATAGACAGAGCCATGGAAATAATAGTAACCAAAAAGGTGAATGCACTGAAAATAGCAGATGTTTGGAGAAATCAAGTCTCAATTTTTTGGAATATTTGTAATTTTTTATCTTCTTAAAACAGATTTTAAAGTCATTCATAAAACAATGAAAGGAAGGTTTAGAATTTCTCCATTTAGCGCAGCGGATCTGATATTTACCCAACAGCAGGAGGACATTAATAGTATAAGAAACAGGCTGGGGAAGATGGTCCGTCTAAAAAATGACATCATTTAGTGCAAAAGGGGTGTTGCACAATGCTTGCACACTGTTGCACTTTTATCCACAGCTTTCTTCCCGCCGTCATCGTAGGTCACTCTAAATGCAAAGTGGTCCCATACAGCAGACCTATAAAGTGCTGCTGGCGCGTCTTCCAACTCCTGTTCTTTCCCACTCGCCATACCCACACAATTCTCCACAACAACTGATTTTTTTCTGCTACACCCGGCTACGCTGCTTCGCTTCTTCTTCTTCTTGTTTACTACTGGTGGTTGGCTTTGGTCGCAGTACCGCCACCTTCTGCTCTGGAGTGTAAACGCTTCGCCTATGAGAAAAAGGAGCAACGCATGAACCGAACGCAACACACGCGAACCGAACCGAACGGTTCAAAAGGGTTTTCATAAACCGTTCCATCCCTAATAGGTACGCATGCACAATTATTTTTATTTTTTTAAGTGGAGTGGGCTGGTCTTTTAAAAAATTCTCCATAATTCCTTTAAGAATCCATTTTTACGCTACAAGAAGAGGAAAAATGTGCTTTTAAGATGTATTAGAACTACTGTTGAATATCAGTGATATTTTCTGTTAGTGTTTTTTTGCACCTAAAACGTTTTATAAATGATTTTTTTTACTTCTATTAATCTGATCCATTTTAAACCAGGCAGTCTTTTCTATCTACTGTAGGTAAAAATATTGAACACACCACCATTTTTCTTAGAGCCTCATAATTTGAAATTTAAAGAATAAATCTGTAATCGTTTTCTCTTTTTTTTTTTTCCAGTCAGCAGGATTGAAGCTAAAGCAGCGTTTTGCACTGAGAAAAGCAAAGTAACTTCTGCAGTTAATGCAGAGACACCAGGTAGGTTCAAATCAGACCTGCGCCTACTAGATTAAAATATCTCCTGATCTGATTTTAGTCTCATCTTTGGTAAAACAGAACAAATAATCAATAAAATCTCCAATTCTAAAGATTCATGATGCATTAAAACGCTGTTGAATATCAGTGATATTTCCTGTTTTTTTTTTGTCGTACCTCCTCATCGGCGGTGCTGAACGCAGCTTTCTTTGTCTCCGCCTTGTCCTTAATGGAGCGTCTGTAGGGATTCTCTGTTGCATCCTGAGGCTGCTTCACCAGCTCCGTGGGATCCATGTTCTTCATGGGGACGATGTTGAAGGCGTACAGATACTGCAGACGCAGTAAAATAACAACTAAGAAAATACGTTCTGGTATAAATAGATATAAACGTTGCACTCTTTAGATAGTCTGAGTTAGGAAGCAGCTTCATCTCTAGATGGACATAATTGAATGAGACCGACCTTCTTCTTGGCGGGGTTGTTGACGGCTGCCAGGGCGATGAAGCGGCTGACATGTTGAGCGTTTTCCTGGAGAACCACATGATTTCTGAGGAAAAAAGGATGACTGAATCAGACTCTTGTGTAAAGGAGGTTAATAAATATATAAGTAAAGCCTTCTTTACCTGTATGGGAGCCTCTCATAGTGAACGCCCTCTAGTGCAGCAAAGTGATAACGCGGTTTCAGCTTCTCAGCGAGGCTGGCGATGGAGCCGCTTCCACAAGACTTTGTGTTCAGCTCCTGTCGCACAGAAATTCATTTGGAAACGGATCCTTTGAAGCGTTTCTACCAGGATACGTGAAGACGTTTGGGTTACCGGGTTGTTTCCATAGTGCCACACGCCACGCGGCCACTGTGACGTCAGCAGGATGTCCACGCCCCTGAACTTGGAGCTGCTGCTCAGCGACGTGACGAGCGCCGACAGGTCCTTGGAGGTGAAGCAGTGGGCCGGGGCCGGTTCCTGGAGGGCCTCCCTGCCGCTGACGTAGGCCAGCTGCAGTCCGGACGCTCCGGTGAACACGCCGCGCCGACCTGAAACGCAGCATGAAGCAGGCGCCGTTTTCACATCCCCGATGAGCAGAGCTGCTCGGATCGAAGGGGAAAGTCGAAACTTTGGAAGGTTTTTGTGGACATTTATGCTAATATTTGAACAAGATGAGGAGAACTGGATCCCTAACCGGCTAAGCAGGTTTGGTTTATAATTGGGAAACTAGAAATTAACTCAGTTTTTCAAAGAATGGTTTGCTTTAGAAACCTAAAAAAAAAAACAAAAAAACTGCAAAATGACAAAATTACAGACAAAATAATTAAGATTTAATCAAATTTTATTTAAAGTAAAAACATGATATGATTTTTTTTTCCTGCAACTAAAATGTTTTATAAAAGGACCAATTTATTCAACTTCTATTATTCTTATCTATTTTAAACCAGGCAGTCTTTGCCATCTACAGCGGGTTAAAGTATTGAACATTTTTCAGCACGTCTTTTTCACCAGATGTCGGTAACAATCCGCACTTATAAACTAGGGATGCAGGATATTGGGATTTTGGCCGATATCCGATATGCCGATATTTTAAAACTCATGTAGCCGATAACCGATATCGATACCGATGTTAAAGCTGGACAAAAATACGTAGTCATTGAAAATAGCAGTTTTGTTATCCATTTCTGACACTTTGAAAAATAATATACTCAAATATATTTTCATATGCTGATATCAAATTGATTTTTAAAAACGCGGTATCGATCTATTTCACTTTCAAAATCTCGTGAAATTTCATCGTTCTGTTACAAACTCTCGTGATATTTTGCGAATTCTTGTGAGATTTTGTTAGTAAAATAGATCGATACCGCGTCAATATATCAACATATAAAAATATGGCAACATTTGGTGAATTTTGGGGGGATTTCGTAGCATAACGATGACATATAGCAATATTTCATTAGTAAAAGAGATTGATATGGTGTTTTTAAATGGCAATATATCAGCATATGAAGATATTGGGATATTTTAATGGATCAATATTTTTTCCCTCGTCTTTAGAAGTTTTTAAGTCTGTAAAAAATAAGTTTTTGAGGAAGAAGAAGAAGTAGTATTTTTTATTTATTTTTTAGACTTTAGAAACTCAGAAGCTGATCAAATATCGGGTTAAATATCGGTGGGGTGGCCGATGTCCGATATTCAGTTTTAAGGCCGATACCGATAGGGGGCCGATTATATCGTGCATCCCTATTATAAAGAAATCAAATTATAGATGTGCAGAAATTAAGGCCCCCGTCACACCTTGCTGATTTATCCAGCGTCTGCTGGCATACGCTTAACTTCTATGTACTTTTTCAGTTTTGGGCGTATACATAGAGTATTCATAATGAGTCCAGAACTTCTGTCCAACGACAGCCTAACTTCTGCATATCGCACAGCAGTGCAATGCCCAGGAAATGATGCACAGTGTCCTGAGGGGGGCAGCGATGCGCTCTGAGGCGCCCGCCCGCCAAGAAAATGAATAAAAAATTAAAAGAAAGAAGGTTTCTGGTGGCAGCAGATTGAGCGTCATGTCTGCTAGGAAGTGTGTTGGTGGTGGGCGTGAACGCAGGGAGGATCCATCACTCACCTTCTGGCTCACCCCTATGATGGGGATGAAGTCTGGAGGAGAACTGACGGTTTCCTCCTGTGAACCCCCTTTATACCAAAACGCTGCCAATACGCCATTATACAGTAGCTGGAAGGTAGAAACACGTTCAGCGCTCGTCTGGAACACGGCAGATACGCTGATATGTTGGAGAGAAGTTCTGGATAAGTTACGCAGAGGTTAAGGATCAGCTAGACGCCACGACTGATGAGGAACTGACACTGAACGTCTGTCAGCCATCAGATAACTGACCTGGAACTGATGGACCACGCTGGGATACTTCCGTATGTTGTCGTGTGCCAGCTTGCCAACATCTGACACACACTACTCTAAATCGTCAAGGTGTGACAGGGGCTTAAGTTATGTGTAATAACGTAGAATGGCAAAGGGAAGAAGTATTGAACACCCGTAGAAAGGAAGGCGCAAAAAGGCATGAAAAGCAAAGAAACCAGCTGAAATCTCTCAGTAATCAGAAAGCAATCCTGCTACTTATCAGCATTTGGTTCCGTCCCAAATGATGGCTGATAAAAACCTGAACATCTATGGTTTCATTTCTATGTTTGTGTGGATTACAATGATTGTTACCGACATCCAGTGAAAATATCATGTTAATAGAACCTCTAGAAATAGATTTACTGAGAAAAATATCAGCATCTTCAATACTTATTTCTACATATATACTTATTTGAAGCATAATATGAAGCAGTTTTATTTTTCTGACAGGATCAATCCTCTCATTGGTTTATTTCTGTATCTTTTCCTTTCTTTCATGTTTTCCAGACGTAACCCTGGATAAATAAAACTATGTTTTAAATTTCTAACAGGAGGAATTGTCTTAAAGTATATATTTGATGCATGTTGATCTTAAAACTCAGTCCTCAATATGAATCATCTATATATAATAAAACTTTCATTGTTTTATCTGATTTAATATACGAGACTGGAACATTTTTACCTACTATTATTATCCAGCTTCCATGATATCTTTTTTCAATGAAAGTGCAGATCTGATCTTTGCAGTCTCACCTAAATATGTGATGTTTTCAGCCAGTTCAGATCCATCAGAGTTAGGGAAGTTCTTCGCCGTCTCCTGACTCGCTGCACCCAGTATGTAAGTGTGGATCGGAGCTGGAAAAAGGAAACAGACGTTAAAAATTAGCGAATGAACTCAAAGCGTCCAGAAAAGGTTCAATCATCATGAAGGTCTGTTGCAAACCAAACCGATTTAACTGTATTAAACAACATAAAACATGCAAGAGGCTGGTTTCCTAAATAAACAGACGTTCTACTTTCTGCAAATTAAAACATAAAGTCGTATAAAAGATTCAATCAGGGTGAAAACAGCCTCTTTAA